GCTTCGCCATGGAAGGAAAGGTATTACAATGGAACTTGTACCTGTCTGAATTCCTTACTGATCAGGATGTGGTAGCAAAGGGGTCTGTGCCTTCTCAAACTGAGGAAACAGCTCAGTTGCCTATAATTCCCATCCCTAAGCTGCTCACTCCTCCACCACAAGAGGCACCTATTGAACTGTGGGGAACCAACGGAATGGTCACAACAGGTGCCTAATGCATGGATTCCTGATGGTTCATCAACCACTGATGGAAACAAAACTAAGGAAAGCAGAAGCCTATAGACGAGGGGAATGGAATGGCCAATTCTGAGGAAGGAACCACAGATTCAGCATCGCACTAGACAAACAACTAAGGAAGTGAAAGGAAAATCTCTGTTTTCTCCAATTCATGATGAGTGTGCAATGGTATAGTCATCAAAATGGAAAAACTAACTGGCAGATAAATGGTTATGGGAGGCATGAATGGAAATGGCAAAATCTAGCAAAACTTAGCAAAGACATCAAATTTTATGTAGCTCATACAGGTTAGACAAACAGAAAATAATGAGATAATGGACAAATTGGCATCATGTTTAATTAAGACTAAAATATTAAAAATTTCAGGGGAACAAATTCAGAATAAATAAGCAAGAATGTTAGAATACACATTCAAAAAAAAATGAACGTTTACCCCTCACATTGAAAAATAGACACAAAGGGAGAACTAAATTAAGCCAGGACAACCCTCTGAGACTAAGCATTACAAGGAATCCATAGCCAGGCACCTTTAATCCCAGCATTCAGGAGGCACATGCCTTTAGTCTCAGCACTTGGGAAGCAGAGGCACATAAGACGTAGGAACATAAGAATTACAGTGCTTTCAATTTAAAAGAAAGACGCTTGCAAAAGGCAGGCTGAAATCCAAAGTGAATGTCCTTTGTGATCTAAAAATGAATACACTTAAACTTTGAATTTATATTTAAGGAGAAAGGGGAGTATAGGTATACTGATCCACATATATTAAGGCATATTTAGTTTCAAAATTTCTAAAGAAATTAAAAAAAAATCAGTTGAAAGATAGTACTTTTTCTGTTGCCAAAAAACATTTTGCCTTAGGAAAGATATAAACTGCTAAAAAGGAGCTCCTCCCTGCTCCATCACCACCCAGAGATAGTGTTTGAGCAGGGTTTTGCTTTTATCTTTCCAGGAGAATAAAAGCATCTAAGTAAGGAATCCGGTGATCACTGGACAAATGAAACACCTGAAGAAAAGGGATGGATCATCAAGATAAAATGTCCCAAGACTGTTTTTCCACCCGTCTCTGCTGCCCTCTACAAACATAAGCAGCAAATGGTCTTTATGTGGTCCCAATTCAAGCAAAAATTAAAGCTGGCGTTGGGCTGGGGTGTGGCTCTCTTCTCTAAACCCATGAGTGCTTGTTAAAGAAAAATCCAAAATCTCTGTCTCATATCAGAAGAGCCACCTGGTATGAGACAGAGGAAAACAAAAAATGAGGGATTATTCTATTGCTACTGATCTCATAATCTTTGGTTTTCATTTGACTCTATAAAACTTTTCTTAAGGTATAAATATTATCTCAAAATCTGTAAAATTGTTATATAAATAAACTTTCTGAAGTGATCCGAGTAGTCATACAGAGTACTAATTCTAGAAATGAGCTTCCTTTAGTTTCCTGGATGTGTTTTCAGGTTTGATTCTGAAGCAGTTAACAAGGAACAAAGTTTGTGCACATGGGATGTATGTAGATTGTGGTTCTCAGACCATTCAGACATCTGCTGAATATGGTGCTTAAAATGTTTACATTTTCTACCATTCCTAACAGCAACCTTGAGGTCTCTAAGAAGAGGGTGGGACCCACACTAACCACTGGGTGAAACTGCCCCGTGCTTCTTTGCTGTCAGGTTCTGCACAAACAGCGGACACCTTTGGGTTGATTGTTGTGTTCTGCCTGGCCACCATTGCCACTAAGCTGACAAACACCACCCAAACATCAGCTTTAGACTACAAACTGCTTGGGACATTAAAATTGCTCAGTTCATATGAGACCGACACAAACATTTTTACAGAGCTTTGAACTAAAAAATACTTACTTCCAAGACAGCCAAACACAACCAAGCTGGCATTGTGAAAGACTTGGCAGAAATAGCTTCATTATTGTGAATAGTTTAGAGTTAAACTCTTTCCTTTTTATTTAGACAAAAAGGGGGAAATGTTGAAGGATATTTGATCGCACTATGAACCCTTAGATTGTGTTGTTTGCTGGAAAAAAAAAACAAACCTGTTTCTAGTTGCAGTATGGCTCAGCCCTAGCACACATTTTTAATCCAGGAGGTTTCTGCTTGGATATTGTAAACAGGATTAAATAAAGTCGACTGTAGGTCAAGAGGCAGGGCAAGCAACAGTTGACTGGACGTGAACATAGGATTATTAAGAAAAAAATCCTGGTGACCAACAGGAAGTCAGGAGAATGGAGAGGCACAGAAAGTGGAAGGGAGGGACATTCAGTCTGGGATTTTTGAGGCAGTGTGAGGAAGGAGCATTCCTTTTGGAATGTCAGCTGATAGGAAGGTTCAGCTGGGTGCTTTCTCTGCCTCTCTGAGCTAGCAGGCTCTTACCCCAGCATCTGGTTCCTGAGTCTTTATTGGCAAAGTCAAGCGATTGAGATTTTGTTTAAAACAAGAGGCTGTAGCTTTCCAGGGATGATATTTCTAAATACCAACAATGAAGCCTATGTTTCTGGGAGAAAGTTGTCATCACTATTTAATGGCCTATCCATTGCGTTTAAAACCCGAGTTCACATTCATAAAAATCTACCCGAAGTCACTGACTGCATCTCTGGTTGGCTATTCCCCCCACCCCAATCCTTGCTTGACTGGAGCCTTCCAGATGCTTGAACGTGGGCCTGCACAAGCTTATTTTATTTTTTCTTTCTATACATCAGCCCAGTGTCTTCACCAGCTAACATTTAATGTTTCCTGGAAAGGATGGTCACAATATTTTAGAAAAAATGGAGTGTCAGGATATTGTTCAGGACTGTCCCCAGCTGCAGGCTCAAATGATCCTGTAGCCTCTGCCTTCCAAATTCTAGGGACTACAGGTGTGTGTCATCATGAAAGACTTATGATGTTTCTTTATTTTCACATTTTACTCTCATATTAGGCGGAGAAAGGAGCTATCAGCAATGAAACTCTACAATTCTGCGGTTCTTCGGAAAACAACAGTCTTCCATTGTCTTCATTGCTGGTCTGGATGGTCACAGACCACTACTTGGAGGCTGGGTTTTCCTAGGCCAACGGCAGGAAGTAGGTTTGGAACTGTCCATGGAAGACTCAAGTTTCAAGGCTTCCTCCAGGGTGCCAGAAGATCCCTATGATGACTGCTCATAGGTGATGGGGGCCACTGAAATTTCCTAAATGGAGCAGAGATGCCATAACCCTGGAGCTGGCCCATGGACCCTGGAGGGAGGGAAGTGGGAGCTCAGCAGTTCATCACAGATGGGTCATTCTTCTTGTGTCTGTATCCCAGTATTCTGTGCACTCTCCCCATAGGACAAAACACGGCTTTACTCTGTGGCCTCTCATTGGCTGCATGTTGCACGAATAGTACAGTACAGATCCCATGGGCTCATGGGCCCATGGCAATATCTCCAGTTTGGCATCACCACCACCTTGTAAAGATGCTGAGCAATAGCTTTCGACTCAGTGTGGATCTTCTCCTCTCTGAGACAGACTTTATGAGCAGCTACTTCAAGTACTCTACAGGAAGGCCCCAACTTCCCAGTCACTCCATGGTCTAAGCAAAGGGCTGCAGGGGCTGACAGCAGGGTCCACTGGTTAAAAGTGGTTAAGAGTGTTTCCAGCTCCTCCAGAGGACTGGATTTCAGTTCCCAGGACCCATGATGAACTGCTCACCTCTGCCTGCAGCTCCAGCTCGGACTCTTCGAGCCTCCTGTGGAGGCTCACATGCTTGCATGTGTGAACGCGCACACACACAGGCACACAGACACAGGCTTGCGTGCGCACACACACACACCAAATTAATAAAATAAAATAAAATAAAATAAAATAAAATAAAATAAAGCATCTTTAAAAAGGTGTGGCTTGACCAGAGAAGGTAAGGAAAGATGAGCCTTGGGTGCTAGAGAGATGATGGCTCAGGACCTAAGAGCAATTGCTCCTGTTGCAGAGGACCTGAGTTCAGGTTCCAGCACCCACGTGGCGGCTCACAATCACCTGTAACTCCATGGTCTCTTCCGGCCTCTAGAGGCATTCACATACATGTAAAGTAAAGGACACACATACATGTAAAGTAAAATAAACATTGTGTGTGTGTGTGAGAGTGTAACCTGTTATCCCTCACTAGGGAGGTTCAGACAGGAGGTCCCAGAGTTCAAAACACAAATAAATAAACAACAATGATAAACAACAACAACAACAACAAAAAACAACAATGACACACAGGGTCACAGAGACAGCGAAAGACAAAGAAGGAAAGGACACACACACACACACACACACAGAGAGAGAGAGAGAGAGAGACAGAGAGGAGAAGGAGAAGGAGAGGAGGGAGAGGAGGAGGAATTTGGCGCACACCTGTAATTCTAGTATTTGGGAATTCAGGGCCAGTTTGGGCTACAGAGGATCCTGCTTATAAATAACAAATAAATCATAAAAAGTGAGCAGAATCAGAGTGTTAGCTAGCTCGAAGATCTCTTCTGGCTTCCGGAGTAGCAGCAGGAGCAGGGCCTGAAAGGAGAGCGCAGGGCACCTCAGCTGCCTGGGAAGAGGGTTAGAGGACTTCGGAGGAATTCAGATTGGGCCACTGCGCCCTCCGGGAAGGCCGGAGAGCTGGAGACCTGGCTGGGCGTCTCCTGCCACCCCGGGGCCGGGCTCCTGGGGATCCGCTCCAGGCTCTGCTCGGCTCCTCCTCCGGGGCGTCTCCGGCTGTCAGCCAATGGGCGGCGGGCGGCGGGGAGCGGGAAGCAGAGCGCCGGGGCCCAGCCTCCTAGGCGCGGGGGCCCCCGCAGCGCCAGGTCCGCGCCCTGGAGTCGGTGCCCGGTTCCCGCTCGGTCCTCGCGAGCCTTCGAGGTGGCCAGCGTGCAGCGTCCGGGCGACAGAGCACCCCGAAGATGCAGGATGGCAGCGCAGCCGCCCGCCAGCCTCTCCTACCGCACCACGGGCTCCACCTGCCTGCACCCGCTCAGCCAGCTCCTTGGCATCCCGCTAGATCAGGTAACAGCGTCCCACCCGCGACCCCGGCCCTCGCTCTAGGGAGAGGGGTGCGCCCGGGTCCCCGCCCACGGCTTGGTTTACGGCTGTTTTTATGTGTGAAAGCTATCTCTTCACTTAAACTAGCAAGTTAGACTGAACACAAGTTTTGGTCTGTAATCAAATTCTTTAGTGGTGCCATTCATGAATCCAGCATCTTCCCACCGTTGTAGTTAAGTCTTTCTGATGTTTAAACTTAGGCGATCCTACTCTAAGAATAAATCTGATTAATCTGGGTGTGGTGGATCCTCAGAGCCCGGGGCAGGAAAATTGCTGCGAGGTCCAGTTTACTCTGTCTAGGTAACTGAGGGAGGCTCCTCAAACCCGAAACAAAAATAAACACAACCAAGAAGTAAAAAGCCTAACTAACCAGGTGTGTATACAGTATACGGTATAGTATGTGGTGGTGACTTTTTTGTTTTGTTTTGTTTTGTTGGTTGAGGCAGCATCTGGCCATGTAGCCTAGACGGCCTTGTACTTGACACCGAAACCTCTATTTTGCCTAGGCTGGGCTAGAACTTGTGGCAACCCTCCTGTCGCAGTGTTGAGATGCTTCTCAGACCAAGAGGGCCTTTGTTACTCATTCCTCATTCATCCTTGCTGTGCGAAGCTGACGAGTAGGGCGGGTTCTTGGAAGGAGAGGGGTGCCTCTGGGGAAGTCTTTAGAACTGTTCAGCAACTGCCTGCTGCCTTACAGGTAGAACTGGCAATGGTAAGCTGGTCAGAAGCCTTGCAAAAGACAGCTGGGGGTGGGGTGCAGCTCAGCGGTAGAGCTTGGAGTATCCAGGAGGGGTCTGGTGCTGGCCCCAGTACTGAGGATTAGACTCTTCTTGAGGTGTAGTCTTGCTTTCTTCCTTCTGGTGCCTCAGGTCAAGTCCCCTGTGTAAGATGCCTGTTGATTTAAATGGAATCAGGCAGGACAGGTTGAAAGGAGTTCTGCTGCCCTCCTTACTATTTTGTTTCTGCTAGTTTGCCCAGTTTATTTTTGCTTCTTTTGCTGGGTGTTGTGGTGCATGCTAGTATTTCCAATACTTGGGAGACAGGCAGGAAGATTGCTTCAAGTTGGAGGCCAGCCTAGGCCATGTGGACAGTACCAGGTCAGCCTGGGCTACATAGAAAAACCGTGGCTCAAAATGCAAAAGAAAACAAAAATTTCCCATCCTAGAGCTGTTCCCTCCCTCCCTTCCTCGCTTCCTCCCTCCTTCCCTCTCTCCTTACTAGAGCTAACTGCTGTCCCTTCCATTTGCATTCCTCTGACAATGAGGAAGTTGGACCTGCCTGTTTGCTTTCCTCACAGAGACAAGCTCATTCTAACTCTTAGGTTCTGCCCGTTGCCTTCTCATCAGTTGCAAAACCTCAAGAATCAGGAACTTGGTAGAAGTGTCAGATGTTAAGTCAGTTACTCTTCACTATGTAGTAAAGATCAGGAGTCCAAGGGACCCAGGCAGGGGCAGCCACAAGAACAAATTCTTTCTCTCGGATTGCTGAATTTCCATAGGATGAGTTCATTCTACATCGACCTCTCTAATTCCTACCAGAACCTATGTAATGGCACTTTCTATTTTACAATAATAGAAAATAATACAACGATCTATTTTACAGAGAAGGCTTTCTCACCTTCCCTTTGCACAGAAAGAAGTGGACTGAGGAAGGACCGAGGCAAGTCGAGAGAGGAGGTGCTAGTGTGTTGTTAAGCTTCTAGTTGCATTCATCTCCATCCCCAAGCTCCAGAATTTTTGTAAAAGTTACCCGGGTTTTGTCTTTTATTAGTTTAAATTGTGTGTGTGTGCACGTTCCTGCGCCCATGTGTGGATATGTGTGCTTGAGTGCCGGTGCCCACCGAGGTCAGAAGAGGGACTTGGATCCCCTGGAGCTAGAGTTACAAGCAATTAGGAGCTGCTGGGTGTGACTTCTGGGAACTGAACAGGGTCCTTTGAAAGAGCTGTCTTTGCTTTTAACCTCTGAGCCACCTATCCAGCACCCCCCACCCCACAAATCAACCCTGTTTTTAATTTATGAAAAGGAAGAAGAGAACATTACAGATGTGACTGATTTTAGTTCACTCCACAAACCAACTCAGATCCTCACTGGATGAGTGGAAATTCAGAAGAACACTTGGCATCACTGAGCTAGATCCTGGGTCAGCCCGACCAGCAGGGTCAGCTTGAGCAACGTGGTGGAAGAAGTGCTAATCATATGACGCCCCAAATCACTTGTTTTCAGCCTGGGGAAAAATCCCAAGCCATAAATAGTATGATGCGGGGGCCAAACTGGCAGTAGGTTCGCCTTTGAAGCCTTTTCCCGGTGTCTTAAGATTTCATATTCCTGTTTATCATTTCTAAGAAATTGAATTTCTGTGTCTTCAGTGTCTGGGTTTCCTTGCATCAAGGGATTTGTTGTCGGGGTTGGAGAGATGGCTGAGAGGTTGCCTGTGCTTGCTGCTCTTCCAGAGAACCTGAATTTGGTTTCCTTCACTCATATCAGGCAGCGCACTAACTTCAGCTCCAGAGGATTCCGTGCCCTCTTCTCCATGCCACCCGAAGGCATGCAACTGCATGTGTCCGCATACAGACACACATGCATACATCAAAAGAAAATGGATCTTTCCGAAAGCTTATCATCTGAAAAACACGGTACCATTCTCTGTGCTCTGGCTTGTGAGAGGAACACTTTATTGCTGCCCACCGATGCGCCTGCCTGGGTACCTGCTCTCCTGGGCAACTGGAAATAGGAACGCTGTGTGCAGTTATGTCTATGATGGAAGTCTATTGCTTTTTCCCCTGGGGACTTTTTTTTTTTTCTTTTTTTCTGGGAGCCACTGTGTGTGTGTGCTGAGAATTGAAAATGGGTCCTCTTAACCACTGAGCCATTTCTCCAGCCTTCCATGATGAGCTTTTAAATGAACTGCAGCCTCCTTAAATGCAAGGCAGACTCAACCACCTGAGTGGGATCTGGCATTATTTGTGTTGTGTGTAGCTTGGGAACAATGCTAATATATATATTATTATGTATATTATATATATATGTTATTACATATTATATATATATAATATATATATTGTGTGTGTGTGTTTCAGATTTTGAGGGACTTCCAATGTGGTGGTTGTGGTGAATTCTGGGGGATCAAGACATCAGTGCCTAACAGTATCCCCAAGATTTACATGTTTTTATCAAGGGTCAATTCAGCCTTAAGTCATGTACACGGTTATTTTTTTCCTTCCTTCCTTCCTTCTTTCCTTCCTTCCTTCCTTCCTTCCTTCCTTCCTTCCTTCCTTCCTTCCTCAGATCACATTCTCTTAGTTTATCATCTGCTGGTAAAACAGAGAGACTAGAATTTGAATCCAGGAAATGATGCTGAGGATAAAACAGCCAGGGTTTAAGAGTTTAACATAGGCCTATGATCTGGATTAAAGGAGGACTCATGGAAATGGAGAGATGGCTCAGTGGTTAGGAGTGCTTGCTACTTTAGCAGAGGACCTGTGTTCGGTTCTAGCACCCGTGTGGTGGCTCACAACCATCTGTAACTCCAGTGCCATGGGAATCTGACCTTTTCTTTTGACCTCTGAGGGCACCGGGCACACATATGCTACACATACATACATACATACTGGCAAAACACTGATAGACATTAAAAAAAAAAAATCTTTTTTTTTTTTTTTCAAGCATTCATAAAGACCAGCCTTGGAGACCTGGCACACTAGGCTGATGGTGACACAGCAGAAAGTTCTTACCCTGAGGTCTGTGACTTCAGGTTTCGGTCACCTGGTTGAAGTCCTTGGCTATGCTTGGAAAATCCAGCCTCGGGTCCTGTTCTTATCTAAGTCTTGCCCTGCATTAAAATCTCGGCCCACATTCCACTGCCATTGTTAAACCATTAAATATTTATTTAATCATGTCAGTACCAGGTACTTGCTGTGCGGTGAAGTGAAGTCAATGTCCCCATCCTAGAAGAGTCTCTGCACCCACAGAGGAGAGGCCCACACACGGACACAGGCAGTGTACATTACAGAGTGTGTAGCTGGCACCTCGGGGGAGCAGGAAGGGAAGGGCCCGGGACACATTTGATGCCTGTAAGATTTACTGTGTACAAACAAGACACTGGGTGAAAGTCACTTTACATGGTGACCTTGCTGGGTTTCTGGACTTGATTTCAAACTCCAGCTTTTCCGTGGTTTCAGATTTTGTCCCTCTTTCCAGGGGATTTTGGATGTCTGTTGTTCATAACAGTAGATGCCAGTATTGCCAATTATTAAAGTTCCATACAGAGAACAGTATTTTAATTTTGTGATTCTTGGTCCCAGGGATTGAAACCAGGGCCTTGAAATCTCTAGGGCACATCTTTACCAAAGAGACGGTCCCAACCCATGAAACTTGTTTTTAAAGGGGACAAGAGGCTGACCTTTTGGAAGAAGTGACCTCATCCTAACGCAGCTATTAACTTCAGACTGTGACCCGGGCTTGTTCTAGCTCACCTCAGCTCAGTATGGGAGTGAACACCCATCAGGACCAGCATCAGCTAAGAGAGCCTTCCCATCCCAAGTTCCCCTCCTCTCCATCCTTCTTCTCATTCCCACCTTCTTTCTTCTTCGGCTTCAGTCCTTTCTGCAAAGTTAAAGCTCTTCCCAGCTAATACTCCTGTCGTTGTTGGATGTCAAAAACGACTGGGTTACAGGAGGAAACTAATGTAGGTAGACCACAGACCACAAGTGTCAAGTTTCTGTTGTGTTCCAAGGGTTTCCAGAGTCGTGGGAGCCAGTGACTCAAGCCTGGGTAACGTGATGCTGATCCTAAAGTTCACTGTGGGTGAATCAGGATGCACTTCCTGTGTGCCACCTGGACTAACACAGTCCTCCTCAGAACTTGTTAGCAATGGCCCATCTAAGCCGGGTGTGGGGGCTCACATCTGTAATTTTAGCACTTAGAGGAAAAGGCAGGAGGGTTCCCGAGACTTCCAAGTCCATCTG